GTCTAGTCATAAGGAAAGAAGCGGGGGGTTGGAGAGGAAATCCTTCAGTTTTATTATGCTTTCTTGGTTGTTTTGTTTGGAGAAGAGTTTTCATTCAGCACTGATAAGGTGAATGGTTAGTTACGAGCCTGGTTAGGGAGTATTTTATGCAGTTCGTATATTTGGTCACCAAGTACAGTATAAAATAACATAACCCAACCAGTGTAAAGTTTCTGTTTACTTTACATATCATTCTGTTTACTTTACATAGAGTATATCAAAGGGGCAGCACTAGATATGGGAAAAGATCCAGGGCTTAGGCCTACAGGACAAAAGGAAAATAAAATAACAGAACAATTCTAATTTGCATATGCTTTAACATCTGCCTGCTAAGAACACCTTGGACAGGGCAGAAGAGTGGATTTGATTTCAGAAAAAAACCCCTCAGTCAGCAAGATTCAAGGGATGGGGGGAAGCAGGAGGCGGAGCACATGCGGGCTAAAAGCCAGCTGTTCTAGGGAGATCAGATGCAACAGAAATCCTCAGGGTCTCATTACCCTTGTTTTAGCAACTGGACTGTGTGGGGAAGTAGTTACTTCCTAAAATTTTGCAGCTTCTAATGAGCAATTCACAGCTCTAGTCCTAGCAGGCCACCCCTTTATGCAGAGGCCTCAGAGTAAGAAATCCATTGTCCATTGGGCCTGTGGGCAGATTGGACAGGTAGTAGAAGGACAGAGCAGAGTGGTTGCTGTTAAGGTCCACGTTGTTGCTAAGATGTCAAGTATCCCATGAGTAGGAAGGCCAAGTTATAACATGCTCTTCCTCAACCTGGTTCCCTTGAGATATTTTAGATATCAACTAGCATCAGCTGCAACTGCAAGGCCAGTGGTTAGGAATGTTGGGAGTTGTAGTCCAGAACATCTGAAGAGTGTAGGGGAAGGTGTTACCACAGCTGATGGTTCAGTGACTTAGTGCTACATGAACAACCTTTGGCCAGCCTCACTTCCTCTTTCATCCTCCAGCATGGCTGCAAAGAGGAGATTAGAAACCTCCAATGAAGCTGCAATTTGCTGTTAAATCTGAACCAGAAACTGCACTTTTGTTGAATGTACTTCACTGAAACAAGGCAGTGTTTGAAAGTACTTGATAGTTTGATCTTTAAATAGGCCATAAATACTTTAAATGAATTAGTTTTAACTAGTTACAGCTTAGTCCAGTTAGGAAGTAATGTGAAATGATGCTTAGTATAAATCAGGCAGCCAGGGTCTTGGTCTCCTTTAAATGGCAGCTGCAGCAGACAGAAGGGAGCATCTGAGTCCGAGGCTTGCTCAGCTCATTTACATAGCACTGAACTATAGATCAGCCTTACGTCTGGGTTGGGCTGTTGGCCTGTGTGAATTCATGTTTTTGCTAACCAAATTTAGGAACCCACATCATAGTCTGAACTGCTCATCTGCTACTGCTTCCTGTCTGTTCAGCATGCTGGTCCATAAGGTTGTTCCTCTCTCCATGGTACAGCATCACACAGAAGCAGAGAAATGGCCCGAGATGTCAATTGTCAGTTGTAGATTCAGTTCTGAACTGTTGTTTCAAATATTGGTTTATCGGCCCCAAACCAGCTTGGGTGTAGGCATAAGGTGGATCTAAGTTTTAGCCACACACACCATGAGTTCCGTTACATCAAAATGCAGCCAGTTACTTCTCAAGTATATAAAATGGAAATCAATGGACAGTTGGCCATTCTCCCTGTTAGCACTCTTCATTTAGAGATACATTGCAGTTAAGAACAAACTCCATGCTTTCAGCACAAACTGGTTTAATAGATGAACATTTACTATACTATAGCATCCATGTAGAAAGCTGCAGGAATCCCTCCTCTCATATTAACCTGCCTGTTAATATGTTCTTAAGAAGCTACCATGAAGTGAGTCAGAGGGCTTCCAGAGAAAGGGAGTGTCCAAAGGGTACCTCTCCTTTGGAAATGGCCTGTACATAGAGATTGTTTAATTATTATACATTTTTTCCTGCAAGGAACCCCAGGCAGCTTACATGATCCTCCTCCTCCTTTCCTTTTTATCTTACAACAACCGTGTAAAGCAAGTTAAGCTGAGAGTCAGTGACTGGTCAAAACTCACCCAGTGAGCTCCATCATTGAGTGTTTCTGAGGGAAATACTATCCTATGAAGAGAGACTGAGAGAACTGGGCATGTTCAGCCTTAAGAAGAGAAGACTGAGGGGGGGCATGTTATCACTCTATATGTACCTCAGTGTCACAAAGAGGAAGGTCAAGATCTCTTCTTGCTGATACTAGAGTGTAGGACATGAAATAATTCAAGTTGCAGCAACCTAGATTCAGGCTAAACATCAGGAAAAGCTTCCTCACTGTCAGAGCAATATGACAGTGGAACCAGATGCCTAGAGAAGTGGTGGGCTCTCCCACCCTGGAGACATTCAAAAAGAATCTGGACAGCCATCTGAGTGGGATGGTGTAACTTGGTGTCCTGAAACAGCAGGGGGTTGGACTTCATGGCCCCTTCCAACCCTAGTATTCTATGATTCCAAGACTAAAACCTGGAGCTCCCAAGTCCTGGGCCAACATTCTAACCACTGCATCATATGGACTTTCTTAGTTCTCTCTGATTTATTTTGCTCAACACTTTATTTACAATTACAATTATTCCTTTTCTCTCTTTGTTTTATATCTTGCCTGCTTTGTGAAATCATTAATATCTCCTCCCTACATTAATCTGCCATTCATCTTTATCACTGTCTCTTTTTGTCATTGATTAGACAAGCTTCATATTTCTTTAAACTTTATGTGTTCAATTTGTCTTGCTGTTCTGGGTTTATTTTTTACTTCTTAATCCTATGGGGTAGTGAGAAAGAAACATAGTATAATTATGGAACTCACAGAGAAGTGCCTTTCTACTTTCTAGATGAGAACTAGAAAGCAATAGAAGTACTGTAAAATACATAATGAAACAAACATAGGGCAGATTCACAAAACACAAGACACCACAGTGAAATCTTACTGTTGTGGGTTTGCTGTGTTGTCTGGATCAGTTCTGGAGTGTCTACATGGTAGCATTAGTTTCCTAAAACCATGGAGAGAATCAAACATTCTGCTTTGTAAGGTTTTCACACTTCGCCATGGCTACTGTGGTCATCTAGACTTCAGATCGCCATTTTATCATTGTTGGTATGGAAACAACATAGAGTCCGTGGCATGGGTGGCCACAGAAGTGGTCACTTTTGACCTTCAATCTGTACTGCCCTCAGCAGCCTAGCAACCAATGCATCATTGCTTCATTTCCTGCTTTATTTCCATTGACTGAGCAATGTGTCCAGCATTGTTAAAATACGTGGAGAGAGAAGGGGAGAATCATGGTGGAACTGTTTATCATCATTTAATAAAAATCTCTGTGGGGATTGGAGTGGCTAGGAAGCACTACAGAAATGCAGTACACATGGGGTGGGGAGGGGGAACCTGCTTCAGGACCGTAGCAAACCAATCAGGAGGAGGCTGCTGCAGACCATAGGCAAGAATAGGGAAAGGACAAGGCGTTTGCTCACAGAGCTGCGAGAATATGGTAAGGCTGGAAGGAGGGAGTGGGCTGGTACTGAAGAATGGAGTGGGATGGAGTTGATGGAAACTACACTGCCCAGGTAAACATGTGATCAACTGAGCACTATGTTTGAGCAAAATTCTGTGTCCCATGGAAACAGCAACGGGTTTTTTGCCCTGTTGTGTTAACCAGCTATAGACTAGTTGAGAGTTGTCCCCCCCTCCTTTCATAGAGTTGCTGAATCTTCCTCACAGAAGAAAAGGCAGGATGGGGAGAACCCCATTGCCTTTGATCAGAAAAATGAGCTTTCGGAATGGGTTATTGCACTTTCTGTCCCCTCCCTTGCGCATTCCACATTCTGCTGCAATGTTTCATTTACACAAATGACAATAATTAAGCCTCTTCACAGATCTCCCTTATCCTATCTGGTTTGGCTCCAGTATTCTCTTAACATGCTAGAAAAGTAATCCAGGATGTTTCTACAATCGATGATAGGTATACTTTTTAGTTTTGACTCTGAGAAGGCCGTTTCAAACCTTGACTTGTTTCCCTCCTTCTTCTGGGTTCATTTGCAATGGCAACCAATGGTTTAAACAACCCAGAGTTCACAACCTCTAACAAGCCATGAATCTTCTTTCTGGGTTGTTCATGGTTAACAAGCCATGATTTGTTAATACGGTTGGATTTGCACATCAGGACAACACAGCATTTAGCAACCTATACCATGGGTTAAAGTTATTTGTGAACCTAACAAATGAGTACATAGATATTTCAGTCAATTTCAGCTTGGAAGCAGCCCAGAGCTTTGGCTTGTAGACCCTGTCAAGCCATCATCCAAAACATCACTGGTATCCCAGGAATCCACTAATCATTGTGTTATGTAGTAGTCCGAAATGGTGAGTATGCCAGAATCTCTTGGGAACTAATTTAATGCTAATTTATATTCCCATTATCCCAAAATAATCTCAAGGATATGATACTCACTAATTCACAGATTACTGTATATCATCTTGATATTTCTATTGTCTATAGACGGTACTCCTAATGGACCAGCCTATCAACTGCTACTAATATCAGCGCTATTAAAAGCTGGCTTATTTCCAGGATCTGACATCAACACCTTCTTAGTGCACGTTCCATGGATAAATTCTTTTGTCCCAAAGCGGGTTCATTTGATTATCCTGTACAGTTCTGTTTCTGTTTGGTTAATTCATAAGTGGATGTACTTTTGCCAGACAATTTTTAGTGACATTGCTAGGCTTCCACAATGAATATTAAGAAATGTTTCCACAATTGCTGCTGTATGAGCAGTATAAGCTGAACTGCTAATCTTGGAAAAGACACATTTCTACCTAATTGCATCTGGTTTAGTTTGCAAGTGGTGGAACTGGTGGAAGCTTAGGGAATGCCCTACCATGAAGCAGGGTTCTCCTTGTATTTCTCTGTTCCCTCTAGGAAGACCTTTCATTCCTGCCCTGGCACCCCTGGCGGGTACTCTGATGATCCTTGCTAGCTGCTCTTCCTCCATGGCATTTGCCACAGCAAGATAACAGCTAGCAAGACCCTCTGAAGGAATCATCTGCTCTCAGTTTCTCTGATGTTTGCTGCGGCTGCCTCCACCAGTACTAGAAGATTGCCAAGAAAGGAGCTGAGCTTACTTCCCTGGGGAGGATGGTTCAGGGCTGGGATTCTGCTACACCGAAGGCTCTGTATCAAGTACCACCCAGCATCACCTCTCTTTGGCTGACAAGATCCTTAGCATGGTTTACCTCCAGAAGATCTAGGGACATGCCTGGCAGGCTCATATGGAAGGGGCTGATGCATGACAGTATTTATTAGATCATTACTGTGCTTGTATTGATTGACTTTCAGGGTACCATGCTATATATTGGGGTGTTGCACTTCTTTCAGCTTGGACTGAATTCCATTTCAGTAATGCTCTCAAGGGCCACACAGCAGTGGTGAGTTGAGCTGAAGGCAAAAGTGGTGGGGCTGGATTGGGACCTCAGTCCTGAGCTGCATCTCCGCTAGAAAAACTTACATAGAGGTACGTAAGTCCCACTGGACTCAATGCATTCAGCTACATCTAAGGGCCAGTTTAACACAAACTATGAAATAATTGTTCTACATCATAAATGGGTGAAATCACCAAAATAAGACTGCACTGTGAAACAGATTTAGTCGAGAGTAAGCCCTCAACTTGTCTCGTAGATAGCTTTCAAGCAAATATGCTTAGGAGTGCAGTGTTAAGAGAATTTGTTTGAAGTTCATGAATTAGTCTTGCTGTAGTTCGCTGCTGCCAAGGTTGTAGTTCCATGCACAATGCTTACTTAAGTGTCATTAGGACTTAATTCTGTATATACTGGATTAAGGTGTACCTGGATTTGGACTGGACTCATTCCTGATGAGAGACAACTGGAAGCTGCATGTAAGCAAAGGGTTTAAGAACATTTAGTAAGAATCTATTTATGCCCATTAAAACCATCACTCTTCTCTGAATTTAGCTCATACTAATGCTTATTACACAAAAAGAATATTCTCCTGTGGAGACCTGATTTCTCTTCCTGTTCCAGATCTGGGAGGGCAGAGAAGGGGAATAATCCTCCCTTTTTCCCAGGAAAAGGCAATTGGTTTTCAGCAAGAAGAACAGAGTTGAGTTGGGGCTGCCATCTCCTTCTTCGTATTTTAAACATTGCGAAAGCTGCACTGTGGTGACCCAGCGACGCGTGCAACACAGAGCAATGCAAAGACACTTGCTCATGCCGGCTGTCATGTGTGGAGTGATTCATAGCTGCTGCTCCATGGAAGGTGCACAATAAAGGAGAATAGTAGAGAGGGCAGGCTTGGACTGCTACATACATCATGGGTGTTGGACGTTCTGATCCCCAAGCAATCTTTATGTAGTATAGCCTTCCCAAACCTGATGCCCTTTTTTTGCTGGCTGGGGATGATGAGAGATGCAGTCCAACATGTCCAGAACATTTCAAGTTGAGGAAGTTTAGGATATCCTTAAAAGTGTGTTGACTTATGATTTATTGGAACAAAGGAGCTTTTGCTTCTTGGAAAGGCATGCACCATGGAGTCTTTAAATTAATCATTCAGGAATCAGAAACAGAGCTTTTTCTCAGATGTGATATACTGCTTGTTCTCTGTGCTAATGAGATACTGGCTTTGTGGAATAGTAGTTCTCTATGCTTGCTCTTCATTGTCAGTTTTGAATAAGTAGAGTGCAGCTAAATGCATTTTTTCCTTGATAAGTTCTAACTTTGATTGTCATGCCGCATGTGTTTGCAGTGCATTCTGCTGACAATAAGAAGCAAATTCATACTCCAAGAGTTATATACCAAGACAGAAAGTGTAGGCCTTATTCAATATATGTCACTCTTCTCCATATTCCAGTTTCTCCAATGAAATTGATGCTCTTGTTAATGAGTGTCCTTTTCATCTTTGTCCCTATCATTATTCTCTTGACATAATTATTAATTCACTGTATCTGTTCCCCTACAGTGAATAAACATTTTTCCCTAACATGACTGTGTAAAGATTATAGCAAGTACTTTTATGGATGTTGCACTCTTGTCCAGAATCACCAAAAACCTGGAGCTGGCTCTGGGGATGGGATAAATGTGTGTATAATAATAGTGAATAATTGAGAGCAAATAATATGTCTTTTCCTTCTTGAAATTGTAGCTAATTTATATCATTTTTATCCCCCCTCCCTGACCTTGCTCCATGGTTTTCAGACTGAAATATATAGAGTTCTGAGGTAATTTACCCTTCAGGTACTGACCCACTGATAAGGCCAGTATAGTAACAAGCCCATTAAACTCAATTGGAGTCAGCATAGATTGTGCTATAAGTGCATGTCACAAGCACTCCCCTTATAATATGTCTTGATATGGAGTGTCTTTAACTTTCTTAATATCTCCTTCTCCTTCTCTGGGTATCTAATGCTGCCACCAGGAATTTGATTACAATCTTATTAATTAACTTTTCCCACAGTGTTGTGCCCAAGCTATAAGGCTTTTTTTGTTGGACTTTGTGGTATTCATTCTGCCTATAACTCTGGGTTAACAATGAACAACATAAAACTTTATCTGTACAAGAAGCGTATTGGTTTCAAGATGTTCAGTATTTTCTTAGTAAATAAAATAGTGTATATCAATAACTTCTGATGGAGGCATCACACCCTTTCACTTCACAGACATTCCTCACTCGCAAAGCCTCTTCTGAATGAACTTTGACCATTCTTTATTTTATTTATCTCAGTTTAATCTTTCCCTTCTGCACTCAGGTTCCTGTCAACTTCTGTCTCTCACACCCTTCTAATAATGGACAATATTGGGTTTTGACTCTCTCTAGTCGCTGATACAGCCTCCAAGTATTCTACTCCCTTCCCTTCCCTTTTGGGTCTGAAATGCCCTTTGCTGCACTCCCTGGGGTTCCGATGAGAAGGCTGCCTCCTCAGATTCTGCAGACTGTGACCAAGCACAACTCTGTCAACCCTCAGCCCCCAGCCAATCCTCTCACTCACCCTTCCTTTTCTCCCCTTGCTCGTCTGAAACTTAACCATGTTTAAAGGAACGCAATCTCACTACACTGTAAATCATCACAAGTGCCTTTTAAAAGCAGTAGATTCTCCATCCTTTGGGTTGAAGGGGAAAAAAAATGTTCAAGCGAAGAGCTGGGAACAGACCTATTGAAGCCCTAAACAGCTATAGCATGGTCCAAGTCATCAAGGGCATATAGCGTGGGGCTCTTCAGCAGGTGTTCTGGCCTAAAATCACTGTCTTCCTTCACCACTGGATATGCCAGTTAGGGGTGCAGTAGGCAGACTGCCTGAAGAGGTCCACAAGTTATCCACCTTTGGGGAGATCATATTGGGCAAGAAGGGCCAATGGTCTGCCATGGTATGAAGTAGGTGGCATTTCATATTCATCTTTGAGTAACCCAAGTATTATTGTTTATCCTTTCCTCCAAGAATGTTTTTTTTCTCAGCCCTTTGGAAAGAATGTTCTAAATGTACAAGGTTCAGGAGAGAATCTTTTTCCCCAGTAAAACCTCAGGCCTTTCAAAAATGTGTTTTAGCTGGTCAAACCTTCTTTAGAACTACTTCTCAAAAAATCTGTCTTCTTCATTCATGTTTCCTTCTAGAATTAGAAGCTAAAAGATCTTTACACTACATCCATTTTTCTCACATTGGTGGTGTGTTTTTCCAGAGAGTTGTACTGTGCCCACATCTGAGATCATTGCTGTCGAGGAAACAGAAATCGATACGAAACAATCTAATACTGGAAAATGGCAAAAAATGGCAAAGCCACATGCATTCACAGGTAATCCAATAGCACCATCTTTTTTTTTAATCATTTAATAATTTCTTAGTAAGCTATGATTATTCTATGAGTTTAGTGTGGTAAAATTGACAGTGTCACTGCATTTGGATGCAAAGATCAGCCATCTTTTATTCTTATAGAAATAGGCTACAGTGAGTTCCCATGCTTCTCTGTCATTCATCTTCTAGTATGGCCATGAGGAAGAGATGAAAATCATCCACTTCTATTTTTCATCAATCACAGCTTGTTGTTGCACCAGAACTGAGTCAGACTGTGGTGATCTTAACTATGGTTTATTGAAACTCTCCAAGACTTGGGTTATGAAGCTAGATTGGTTTAATAAGTCATAATTAATATTAGCCATAACCGAGGATTTAGATGCAACATTAAACTGCGGCTTTTGTTTAAGGAGACAAAAGCTTTGGATTTCCTCCCGGCCCTTTTAGTGCAGCATGGGAAGCATACAAGCCCAAGCTTCACAGTAGCTTATTTCTGTAACAATAAACCATAGTTTCCTTGCAAACAAATAGGGAAAGCCTACTATCCTTTAAAGAAGTTCTTTTCCCTTTACTAAATGACAGTCATCAGGTTTATTGCTACTATCACAAATTTTAAAATACTTAATGGTAGGGTCTCTTTCCTAAAACTGTGAAAATTGGCATGGGAATGAGCTGGGAGGAACAAAAAGTGCCTTGATGTGGAATCCGGATATGACTTCTTCAACATGTCATGGGAGTGGTGAAAATGAGGTGTCATTTACCAAGTGGTGTTCATATCACAGATATGTATATGACTACTTGCTAAGCTGGTGGTTTGTGTTGTTCTGCCAGAAGGCAAGGAAAAGCTCACATCCGTTTCCCTAGATTTCTTAGCAGGTTGAGAAATGTCGTATAGAGACACGGCTTGCTTATTACGGCATTAAATGCACACTGGAGTCAGTTTCTATTTGCCAAATGCTTGTCTACATTCACCCCCGCTCACACACATGGGTGTGCACATCTGTGAAGGGGTTGCTGCAGCATTTCTTCACCATCAGCCTAAACTTCTGTTTCCTCTGTGGAAGGCATGACACCATCAGCTGCTGCTGCTAGAACCACCCTTTCTGCCCCTCTTGACCCAAAAAGGACTTTTAAGCAGTCTTTATAAGGAACAGAAGTCGGGACCTTGTTTTTCCCCTGTATTCTGAGCAAATGACTGAAATTATGTTTTGACACCCAGTATTCAGATTGCACAGGATCCATAAGTGGCCTGAACATGTGGACATCATGTTTGCATGTAGTTTATGCATGCTGTGATGACACTCTTAAAAATGTATCAAGGTGCATTGATAGGTTACATGTCAAAAATGCTTTTTAAAAACCAAGGGGGCTGATAAATTTTACTTACTTGATCCATGGGCAGAGCAATCCTGTGATCCCTAGACTGCCATAGGATTTGTTGCATTCCCAGGTGCAAGGCTGGAAAAAAGCTCTGAGCTTGAATCCCTCTTCCTCACTGCTTCTCCAAGGCCATAACAGCGACCTCAGAGAAGGAACTGTGGGGACAAGGAGGGGAGAAGACTGGCACTGCCAAGATACGAGGCAGGGCCACAGCCTCCTTCCCTCTCCCATCAAGGTGCTGCAGCTGGACAGCCAAAATCAGTCGTCTAGCTACCTTGCTGAGCAGGAGAGTACAAAGGTGCCCTATTCTCCATGCATCTTCCACTTTGCATAGGATTTCCATTAATCATCCAGGTTTGAAGGGTTCAAGGCATGTCCCCTGAATTACGCCCTGGATTCCTATGATATCATCCTTTCTGTTAGCTGCACTTTTAAAGATGCTTGTTCTTGACATTTTGACCTGGTTTTCCTGGAAACAGAGGGAAGGAGAAATAAATAAATGTTTGATTTAAAAGCATAGAGTTTTAAATTTGTCAAGCCTTGCCTGACTAAAGTAAAAGGCCAAATATTTCTGTAGCTTTTAATTAGCTTGAATACCTTATCAAGGAATAGAAATATTCTCTTTTGCAGCTGTGGCTACATGAAACAAACATTCTGGGTAGTGTGAAATAACTTTTCAATAACATAAATGTTAGTATACAAGTTACATATTTTGCAACGGTTGCGGACATCTGAAGTGGACATTTTCAGTGTCCTTCATTTTGAAAACCTGCTTGGCTTTGGGAAGTATGACTCCCTTCCCATGTTTATAAAAACCCTCAGTTGGCTTTGTAAAATAAAATTTTAATTTTGGATGCTGCCCCCACCGTGTCTTTGCCCTCTGTACTGTATAGAGCAGCCTTCCCCAAGTTGGTGCCTTCCATATATGTCAGGCTGCAGCTCCCTTAATTCCCAGACAGTATGGCCAGTGGTTGGGAATCTCAGTCTGACACATCTGGAAGGCACTGACTGGAGGAAGGCTGATCCTTCAGAATAGCACTTGAGAGATTGCACTGTGACCAGGAAGTCACACCTTGTCATGACCGAGCTAAGTAGTCTCAGGCGAGCCACTCTCCGCCTTTGCTTCAGGTTTGCATTTGCAACAGAGGGATAATGTTTGTTTGTTTGTTTGTTTGTTTAGAAAATTTCTATGCTGCCCCATTCGCTGAAGCCTCGGGGCGGCTTACAAATGAATCAATTAAAATACTATAAATTAACAATATAAAACAAGTTAACAGTATAAAATAAGTCGCCCTGGCCCACAAATAAAATAAATAAATACTATTAACAATTAAAATGACATTTGAATAAAAAGGTCTTCGCCTGGTGCTGAAAAACAAATAACGACGGCGCCAGGCGGACCTCTCTGGGGAGCGCATTCCATAGATTGGGCACCACCGCAGAGAAAGCCCTCCTCGGAGTACTTGCCCTCCTAATATCCTTCACGGAAGGTTCCCGGAGAAGGGCCTCTCCCGCTGATCTCAGGGGGCGGGCGGGCTTATATGGACGTAAGCGCTCCTTCAGGTAACCAGGACCCAAGCCGTTTAGGGCCTAATAGGTCATCACCAACACCTTGAATTGGGCCCAGACTTCAATGGGAAGCCAGTGAAGTTGACGGAGGACTGGAGTCATGTGAACATCACGCCCAGTCCCCGTCAGCAGCCTGGCAGCTCTATTTTGAACCAATTGAAGTATCTGGACCGTCTTCAAGGGTAGCCCCACGTAGAGCGCATTACAGAAGTCAAGGCGGGAAGTCACCAATGCATGTGTCACTGTCACCAGGCAGTCGTACTCCAGGTTGGGGCGCAGCTGATGGATCAGCCGAAGCTGAAAGAAAGTGCTCCTTGCCACCGCTGTCACCTGAGCTTCCAGTGAAAGCTCTGGGTCGAGGAGCACTCCCAAGCTGCGGACCTTGTCCCTAAGAGGGAGTACAACCCCTTTCAGGACTAGGTTCAATTCACCCTCACCGAAGCCCGATCCGCCAACCAACAGGACCTCTGTCTTGTCTGGATTGAGCTTCAGTTTATTGGTCCTCATCCAGCCCATTACCTCAGCCAGGCACCAGTTCAGCACAGCCACTGCCTCACCTGGATTGGTGGAAAACGATAGGTAGAGCTGGGTATCATCAGCGTACTGATGATTCCGCAGCCCACACCTCCTGAGGACCTCTCCCAGCGGTTTCATGTAGATATTAAACAGCAAAGGGGACAAAATGGACCCCTGCAGTACTCCATGGCATAGCTGCCATGGCGCAGAGCCATAGTCCCCCAGCACCACCTTCTGAAAATGGTCATTGAGATAGGAGCGGAACCACTGCAAAGCAGTGCCTCCGACCCCCAATCCCGCTAGCCTATCCAGAAGGATACCATGGTCGATGGTATTGAAAGCCGCTGAGAGGTCCAGAAGAACCAACAGGGACACACTCCCCCTGTCCTTCTCCCTGCACAGGTCATCGTACAGGGCGACCAAGGCAGATTCAGTACTGTACCTGGGTCTGAAGCCAGACTGAAATGGGTCCAGATAAGCAGTTTCATCCAAGAGTGCTTGGAGTTGTCCTGTCACCACCCGCTCTAACACCTTGCCCAGAAATGGGATGTTGGCCACTAGTCTATAATTTGTAGTCATCTCTGGATCCAGTGACGCTTTCTTCAGGACCAGTCGGACTACTGCCTCCTTTAAAGGGGCAGGTACCCGACCCTCCCTCAGAGAAGCGTTAACCACTTCCAAGATCCAGATCCCAGTCCTGTGCTTGGAGTTATTTATTAACCAAGACGGGCAAGGGTCCAATAGGCAAGTGGTGGGACGTACTCATCCAAGCACCTTGTCCACATCAGGCCGCAATAACTGAAATTCATCCATTAATTTTGGACCAGACGGCGGCATTGGTATCTCCCCAGAGACCTCTGAGTCACTAGTAGAGTCTCGCTCGTGACGAATCTGAGCGATTTTCTCCCTGAAATGCTTGGCAAAGTCGTCACAGCGGGCCTTAGAGGGTGGAACCAGATCTTTCTTAGGGCCAGGATGAACCAGGCCTTGCACCACTTGAAAAAGCTCTGCCAGACGGCATTTTGAGGAGGCAATGGAAATGGAAAAGAATTTCTTTTTCGCCACCCTCACCGCCACAGCATAGGCCCGATAATGGGCTCTTAAGTGTGTTCGGTCAGATTCATCCCATGATCTCCTCCACCTACGCTCTAGCTGTCTCCCAGCCTGCTTCATCACCCACAATTCAGGTGTGTACCAAGGGGAAGAGTGGGCTGTGCCCGGCGGGAGAGGACGCTTAGGAGCGATCGTGCCAACAGCCCTGGTCATCTCCCCGTTCCACAGTTCGACCAGAGCCTCGACAGGAGCACCAGTCTTGTCAGCTGGAAACTCCCCCAGGGCCTTCAGGAATCCATCCGGATCCATCCGGCTCTGGGGGCGGACCCACACAATTGGGTCCGCACCCTTACAGAGGGAGAGGCCGCTCTCGAGCACAAACCTCACCAGGAAGTGATCTGACCATGACAGGGGTGTCAGACATAAATTCCTCACCCTCAGACCACCCTCTTCCTGCCCCGTCGAGAAAACCAGGTCCAGAGTGTGTCCACGTTCATGGGACAGCATTCATAATAGCGCTGACCTACCTTTCAGGAATGCTATAAAATGTGGCATGAATGAATGTGAGATTCTTTGAACATGTTCCATCTCTAATTTCACGGTAAGTGTGTCTGAAGATTATTTCTGCAGAACTCTAATTCTCTTGTGCACATATAATATTTCTTGTAGTGTACTATGTGAAGAGGGCACAACATCACCGCTGGCGGTGCAACAACGTGACATTTTGGTGCACTGAGGAACAACTCTGTAATCGGTGGATGAACGCACTAAAAGAATTACTTGATCTCCAGAGTAAGTTGTAGATGAGGCTGCTACACCCTCTGCTGCCTTAAGTGAGGAAATTCTTGAGTAGAGAAAGATAGAAAATAATAGAGGTAAAAGGCGGGGTTGGGATAGAGTCAAGCATTCACTGGCTTTGAACTAACAATATTCATTGGCTTTGCAACAATCAATGTGACTTTATTTACTTATTTATTGTATTTCTAGCCCGCATTTTATCCTTTCAAGGAACTTAAGGTGGCTTACATTATTCTCCTCCTCCTCTTATTCGTATCCCCACAACAACATCCCTGTGAGGTAGGTTGGACTGAGAGTCTGTGGCTGGCCCAAAGTCCGCAGCTGACTCCATGGCTGAGCAGGACCAGAATCCAGATCACCTGAGTCCCAGTCCTGTGCTCTTAACCACTACACCACACCAGCTCTAGTTGGGTTGCTAGAAAGTATATTCCAGTCCTCTGGAAAGTACAACTGGGAAATGCAGTTCATAAAATTAATATTTCTATTCCCCAGGCAGAGTAGGACTTTTACGTTACAAGAGGATAGACTTTGCTTGAGGAAAAACTTTCTGATAAGAAGAGCAGTACACCCATGGTGCTAATTACCTAGAGGGGCAGTGGGTTCTTCCTCACTGGAGATCTTCAAGCAGTCGCTGAACAGCTGGAGGTGCTTTGACTCTTGATTTTCTGTATTGGACAGCAGGGGATAGGATGAGATAGCTTAGCAGTCTCTTTTAATCTACAATTTTTTCTGAGTGATCTCAAAGTATTAGCATATTTAGCAAAAATTAATAGCAGCAAGAGACATTGGTACTACTGGAATAAATTAAGTCCACTTGCATACACTGATATGTTGACTGTTCCCTATACTTATTTCTATGCTCACATAGACAGTCTATTGCTGTCAAATCGTGCTGCTTACTTCTCCCCTCCCTCCAGGAATTTCATCAGCATCAAATAAAACACTGCAAGCTAAACTGCTTCTGGAGCTACTTTTTCATTTTCTCACATACAATTTCAGCTAAGCAATTTGGCAACCTTGCCTGCTTAGGGGTTTTCAACCTGCAGCCACAGTTGGTAACTCTTTAGGAAAAAGGATAATGGTATAGTTCAGGAATGTGTTTGGATGCTTTATTGCTGATGCCTAGCTTTTGTCTGTGGCAGGCATACAGGGAAATTTTTGAATGGCTCAGCTTCCACAAAGTATGAGATAAGAGAGGCAGTGTGGTATAATGGATAGAGTCATGGATTTTTGACCATGAAGGCTGGATTCCAAACTCTGCTCTTTCACAGAGATCAAGAGTGATCTTAGGCCAGCTTTTTATCTCAGCCTGTCCTTACTTCACAAGACTATTGTGAAGATAAAATGCACATGTGGGAGACACCAAGGAACATGTTTGGTGCCTGTCTTGAAAGAATACAGGAAAAGGGTGGGGGGGATCATAAAGAAAAGAAATAGCCCAGACTTATATAATCATGCATGTACCCGCCCCCCCCCACCACACACACACACACACACACACATCTTCATTTTCTGACCTTGTTTCCTTCATACTTCTCAGAAACTCTTAACAGGAGAATGGATTTGAAAAGCAAGATGATTCAAAATTCAATAAAAATGATGAGAATGTCATGGCAGACCATCCCATATGACAGCATTTACTCTATTTGAGTAGATGTTTAAAATGGCCTTGGTTCACTAAAGTTTGCTAATCCAAGAAACCGCTGACCAAATTATATACCTTTATTTTTATTTTGGCAGTCTCTAGACCAAAGCACTTGCTTGTATATATTAATCCATATGGTGGAAAACGACAAGGAGAGAAGATATATGAACAAAAAGTAGCTCCACTGTTTAGTCTGGCTTCCATCTCCACTGACGTTATAGGTGAGTTATGTGGACTGTTCTGCTTTTTAACACTCTGAATGACAGACCATGGGGAGAAGGTAGATCTCCACATGTTTCAAACTTCAGCTCCCAGAATTCCTGCTCGCTGACCATGCTGAAGAGAGTTGCAGGTCAAAACATTTGGAGGTCAAAAGATTTGGGGGACCACAAGTTGTCCACCTTGCTATGTATGGTGACCCAAAGGGATAAAGCTTTAGCTTAGCCTGGCTCTCATTGGCTTGGTTAGACACGCTGGTCACACTCGTTACATTTGGCATTCAACTGTTGACATGCACAGACCTCCTCCTGAGCCACGGGTGCTTCTGACCAATCCTCATTGCTGCCTGTCAGCAGGAGGGACCTGCTCCTGCCTACACAGCTGTTCAGAATATTTTATTGCGAAACAAGTTTTGATTTACAGCTGCGTTTTCCTCCTCAGTCTACTTCTTGGGTAGGGAAAGTCTGGGCAAGCAGTGCTGCTTGAAGTCCTCCTTCCCCTTTCTGCATGTATTTACCATTTGAAGGAGCAACTTAGGCTCAGTTAAATTAAAAGAGACTTCTTTCCCATCCTTTGGACTAAATCCATGCTAAACCAGTTTGCTAAATGCATTGCTAAATCTTTTTTGGCCCAAGATGGACCCTGTTACTAATAACTGGAGGACACATTAGTACATTCAGCATCATGCTGAGCATACAAGCCAAGCCTCTGGATTTCAGCCTGGAACAGATTCTGCAAAAGGCGGCTCAGCTCTGCCACCCCTGATGCCAGGGAGGCACTGAAACTGTATGGCACCAGCCCTCACACCCATGATGTAGACTGAGTATCTCATTTGTATATCTGTGCAGGCCCAATATGCTTCCAGACTACAGCACAGAAGAGACTCCTGTCATTCCCACACCTACATGTCTCTGAGCCACACAGGGAGGGCAACATAATGCAAAATGCTTCTGTGAAGAGAAAGCAGTGCACAGCAGTCCTTGAATAGCTCATTTTTAGAAAGCAGTCATGAAATTTCCAAGCACTTTGCAGTGATACTGTTTGTCCAGGATTTTTCTCATGTGCAACTAAATACTTCCTATGTTGAAGATGCATTTTAGGTTACAGAGTGGATGCTTTAAAAAAACTAGACTAATTACTGTACAGTAGCTGCTGGTCCGTTTTAATGTCTTGCTTAAATAGTGCAGCTATTTAACACTAGTTTCCTTATCTTTCTGTAATAAGAGTTTATTTTTTGGTACAGCAGAATGTGTTTGTCTCAAGGAAAATCAGGAGCCAGCTGTGACTAACAGAACATTTCTATGACTAGCCCCCCCCCACCCAAAAAAAAATAGAAGCCTTTGGGACTGGCAGGAAGCTGCTAAATTGACATGAATAAGCCACGTCTTCAAATATAACATGACATCCTTATATGTCAGAGTGAGTGGGGCTATAGCTGGATCTGATAAAATACTGCATTATTTTCCAGTAGTTTAGACTACAATTTCCAGGCTTCCTGTCATCATTGCCATGCTGACATGAATGGGAGTTCAAACCATGAGGAGGGCACCAGATCAGGATAGGCTGCGTACAGCTTTGCCCTCAAATTTATGGGAACGCTGCCAGCTTACACTCCCTGCTAATGTCTTATGCGCACTACCTTGGGCAGCTGCACAGTTCCCAGATCCCGAAGAAAAGCAGCGAGAATGAAAACAGTCATAAAGCACCAGTGAATTCTGCCTCTCCAGCAGTTGTTTTCATGTATGGGCTATTTTAGCTATGCCTTTTCGAACAGTCTGTTTTAAGATACCCATTTTGATGGCTGTTCATTTCTCTCCCTCACAGTCACGGAACATGCCAATCATGCTAAGGATAGCTTACTTGAAGTTAATCTAAAGAAATATGATGGGTAAGTTCCCTTTTCTTTCTCGCATGACTATTTTTTCAAGGCCTCACATGGCTCACACATAGTCAGTTCATATGCAGCCGGAATAACTGTTGAGTACCTCAGTAATCCTCTTAATTATGCAGGCTGCTACGTGATGCTTGCTGCAGACACGCCCCTCCATCTCGCTGCTTCTGAACGTGGCTGCACACACAATTATCTGCTCAGCCTCCGTTCCCTGTCCATTCATTTACTCAGAAGCAAACCCCAAAGGAATCTGTTTTACTTTCACACAAGAAAGTGTGGTCGGCACCATTGTCTAAGGGTGCAGTCCAGAACACATGAGTTGTGCCTGTGTCCAGCTGAGACCAGTGAAGCCTGACTTTTCCTCTTCAGAGAGGTTTAGACACAACAACCGTTTTGGAGAGCATTATTCCAGTATTGCTTTCAATTTCCAAAAATGCCTAGTTGGTACCACCCCTCCCAGAAATATATCCTTCATGTGCAACAGTAGGTTAACGAGCCAAGAATATCTTGTCCTCAGGAACCCAACAGAACTGCACTGGCTCACAGGCTGAAACTGGTGGGTCAACAAGTGCTTCCCAGTGCTTCCCAAGTGCTTTTATTGCACCATTGACTTGCCTCAATCACAGAATTTTACGAGGAGTCCAGATAATGTTATCTTCAACTCAAGACCTTCCTTGTGTTTTGTCACCACTTCTCCTTTTTTTCTTATTGTGTAAGATCTGTTTAGAAAGATAAAGTCTGAATAGCTGGAGAATGACTGCTGGTTGGTAGTACTAGAATCGCTCTGTCTGAAAGCACACATGTTTTGATATAGGGTTATGAATTTCAAGGAGATTAAATCATGGGCAGCATGAGTGCCACAAGTTGTATGTTGCCACAAGTGCCACAAAGTGTGGCTTTGTGCCTTGCCTGGACAGGAAGAGGAGGGCCTGTAGGCCTGCCATTGACATGGGGCCTGCCCCACTAACTCCAGCCTACCTCTCCAGAGCTACACTGCTGTCTGACACACACAACCATCCCCACTCCAACATGATATAGGCCTAAACATCACACAAAGATTCAAGCTCTTGGAGACTCAAGCTCAAGACTGTGATCAGCTGTGAAGCCCTCCAGTCATGCTCTTTTAGTCTAACCTCCCTCACAAGGGAAAATGAGTAGAAGAGCCACATACCCCAGCCTTTGCCAGTCTCGTTCCCCCAGATGTTTACAAGCACAACTCCCAGCGTTCATGTCCATTGGCCAAGCTGGCCAGGGCCCATGGGAGTTGAAAAACAAAATATCCGGAGGGCACCAGGTTGGCCAAGGGTGACATACATGATCACCTGGAACCTTACAGAGGAAGGCTGGGATAGCTTGTAGCATATAAAACGGGGGGGAAAAAACAGCTCCCAAGCCAGCGAGGGAAAGATACAGAGCACACATCAGAGTGAAGGCTGGCCTTAAATTTCGGCATGCTTGGCTGAACTGAGCCCTCTGGGTTGCAGAGCAGTCTGTCTGAGGGTGGCCTGCCATTCAGCAGTATCCAGTGGCAGCGCTAGCAGTGAGAGCGTTGGTTTCAGTTAGCAGCAACATCATTAGCGCTGGCACGGTGCCCCCACTGGATACTACCCACTGCTTGAACAAAACGATTAATTATCGCCATTGCTTTCTGATCATACTGTAAATATGTGAGCAACAGCGATGGCTTGGCTATTGCCTAATGAAACGGAAGGCCCTGTCAACTGTATGTTTTGCAGTAACATGGTAAAACTGCTTAGCTTATCAAAATTTCTGCAGGATTACAGTCATTGCTGCTAGATCTTGAGTAAGTTCAGCTACTCCTAAGAGTACTTTGGGAGAAATAAAACACACACACTAATTTTCCTTCTGTTTTCAACTTCGAGACCTACTGTCTACTCACCAGTCCAGCAGATTCTTGCATATGGCAGGGTGAATCTATTGGAGGCTATGTGAGCCGGAAAGTACTTTCCTGTACTCACAGATTCCCGCCACCCCGCTGCCACCCATCACCACTTACAGCAGGAGCTTCATGCTTGCACAAAGCTCTGTGTTATGGGGACTTTATATCTGATTGCCAGTCCAGGACTTCTTTAGTACCCCTTCATACAGAAATTAATCAGACTGCCAGACACTCTGCTAATGTAAGGCTTTCTCACAAAGTCACAGATTCTTTCTGCATTAATCCTTCCCTAATTACTACAACATTGAGTCCAATAGTATTGAGATTCCAATTACCCTGGGCATAGAGATTGTTGTAGGAAGGACAGGCATCTTGTATCATTCTGGATGCACTGAATATATGGATGTTGTAGTTGTTATAGACAGATTGGCTGATGGTTACAAGCAGACAAATTGCTAGCATTCTATACTAATCCAGTACCATTTCTAGCCACAGCCATTTTCCCTTTTTGCTCTCATTAATATGAGAAAGAGCATTTGGATAGGCACTTGTGAAAGAGTTAAATCTTCACAGCATACACTTCAGATGGAAGTTGAGCAAACACTTTCCCCTTTTCTGGGGGGTTCTAATGCATTTGCGGTCAGGAAACGCTTTTCAATTTATCTTTTCCAGATATGACAACGATCTCTCAGCTTGATAAGGCAGCAAATGCAGAGCTAGATGAGATTATAGCTTTCCTACCAACGAAACGTGTCCTGTAAAGCTCTCTTTCTCTTCTCTCTGCTCTCACGGCAACATATTACGACCAGTTATTGAACTGCTGAAAAATTCAGCAGTCTATAATAAAATAAAGCTAGTTTCTATTTGAAGAAGAACAGTGTGTGCAAACTTCACATGTATTTGGTTCAGCCTGTCAGCTTGGCATTCCTTTAAAAGTTTTGCAAATTACAGCTTCCCTGTTGTAGATTTTTTTCTTTTTAGGTCATGAAAGAATTCTTCCCCATTATTCCTCAGTATACACTTTTGTATTAAAAACTTCCCCCAGAAGATTAACTCTTGTGAGAAGCATTTTAATTATGGGTTTGTTGTGTTCTTAGGGAAAAGGTTTGGGGATCTCCTTTGACATGAACATTGCCTTCTAATGAGCCTTGCAGTCGTTCCCATTAAATTAGCACCACACAGGCCAAACAGTGCATTTAGTGACAGTTATAATATGTGTGATTTTTCCCACTCTTTTTTCCAAGTCCACCTCCAACATATGGCATGGGTTCAACAACAGAGCATGTCAAGCAAAGCAAGCACCGGGATTCAGGATTTTCTTAACCCTGAAAAGTAACAGAAAATCATTAATACAGATACACAATTATCTGGAAGTAAGGAAGGTGTAGGAAGACGGTCATAGGGGCTTATAATCAAGCAGCAATTGTTTCTTTACATCCTGCAGGTAAATTCTCCTGTTCAAGCACCGTTTAAATGAAGGGAGGGCACAAGAGTGCTTATTCTGTCTCCCTTCAGTCCAGCTGGGCTCATAGAAGTGATCCTTGGGTTCTCTTCGAGTTGCTTTTCTAAGGACAACTCTCACACAGCTGGGATAATGCTTACATGGCCTCAATGACATGGCTCTCCCCATTGCCTGTTTCCTTCACCTAGGAAGGAAAGTACCAAATAAATAAGAGTGATCCTCTGCCTATGTGTTTAGGCTGCTCAGATGCTCTCCCAGCTATGCACGCAACAGGGTAACATGTAGTAAAGATCCTCTTGGTTATTACAGACCTTTGCTATCCAAGGTAAATTCTCCAGAATGGCTGCCAAGCTACCAACAGGCAGTGGCATGTGGTAATTATGAACGGTAGCTGTAATCAGATCAACATTCAGAAAAGATCTGATTACATTTCTACAATGTCTTGCCTTCATAGTTTCAGTTTGGCTGGTGTTTGTGTTGTATTTGCACAGGAATAAGAAAAGTTAGGGCAGTGAAAGCTAGAGGAGATAATTTTATAATTACCCCACACGCACACAAAAAGGGAGTTCTCCAGAGCGTCACTATCTGAAATTATATTTTGAATGGATTGCTTAAGGTTACCATATCTGCATTACACAAACCTGAAGAACCTGATAGGGGTGTGTAGAGCAAAGATGTATAAATAAATTTAATAATAATACACTAAGTCATTTGACATATTAAATTATTAAATGTCACTGTGAGTTTTAATTTGTGTATTTTCCGGCAGTGTTGTTTGTGTTGGTGGGGATGGAATGTTCAGTGAAGTGGTGCATGGTCTGATTGGAAGAACGCAGAAAGACTCTGGCATAGATCAAAATAATCCCAAAGCACCATTAGTCCAGTGCGATATCAGAGTTGGCATAATCCCTGCGGGTAAGAATTGCAATACAATTACTTTCCATCATGCACTTTTATTCTTATTCTTAATTCATCAAAATTAAGCTGAACTGTATGTTTTGGAGAACAAGATGGACTGTTTATGTGGGACAAAATATGTTTCTGTAGGAACCTCAGTAGATAATAAGGTGCCTAACTGAGAAAACATTGTGCTGGACTTGTGCTTCTATGTAGAGGTGAGCATGGAAAAAAAAATGGGAAATAGGACTGAACCCACTGGCCGTCTCAGCCCAGCTCAGCCTCTGTGTGTTCCACAAACCTATGAATGACGCTACCTGTGTACAGGTTCAGATGAATTCATGGAGGTCAGGAGTTGAAGCCCGGAAATATGGTCCTACTTTCCTTCTGCATGTTAATTATACATGCGAATGGTCACCCTGTTGTAGCACAACATGGTTTCAACTATACAAAGTATGTAAAGCAATCAAATCTTCATGGGGTTCCAAGGATGCTGTCTCAGTGCTTTTGAATAGGTCACTTTACTCCACAAGAGGTTTATGTGGGGTAGAAAGATGATCCCAGAATCCTGAAACCAGGAAAAGCAACAGTCCTGTGTCACTGTTCTCCTTAATGAACAGGAAGGAAGTATTTATAGTTCATAAGCAGAGTCGGAATGCTAGCCAGTATTTACCATAATGTTGATGAAGAGGATTCATAGGATTGGGTTGTTTTGGCTTAAAAGTTTCATGGTGTCCTTTCTGAAGACTTAGCAGTATCCCATCCTTCATGGTTTATTACCAACCTTGATAAGCATTTTGCAAGATTGTTGCTTCTTTCAAGAACAAATTCTTCAATTTGTATGTAAAGGCAAGGTTTGTTTGTAGAACTTGTGTGTGTGTCAAGTTCAATTTACATAGTGAATGTCCTGTTAGAATTCACCTGAAAGAAGGGACTCCTGTCCTGGTGTGATTAGTTCACACTTTTTGCCACTCTTGCTATAGAAGTCCGTTTAAATTGTAAAAAATCTTCTCAAGGACCAGTCTACATTTTCGTTTAGGCTGCAATCTTATACCTAACCTGGGAGTAAGGCTTCTTAAGTACACATGTATAGGATTGGACTGCTATTTAAATACTCCACTATTGAAAAGTCTTGGGGCAGCTTACAACAAAAAGTTATGCTAAAATAGGAACAAATAGGATAGTTCCTTGAATTTCTGATGATAGGGACACCCAAAGAAGGGCTTCAGTTGAAGATTGTACTCTGTATGCAGGCAGATAAGGAGAAATGTGCTTCAGGTATCTCAGTCCCAAACCAAGAAGGGTGGTGCATCTCAAAAACAGGGCTTTGAACTTAGCCCAGAAACAGACGAGGAATGGGTGCAGTTGGCAAAGCAGAGGCAAATGTGGTCACAGTACCCAGGCAGTCTGCAGCTGCATTTGGATTGAGTGCAGCTTCCAAGCCACCTTTTAAAAGTCACCCCACATGATGCATTACAGTGGTGTCATTTAGACTCTAAACAGCTGTTTGCGTACACTCATATGCTTACTTACGTATATAGCACCATCCCTCTCACTTTAAATACCATATACATGCAGTATGTAGATTAACACAGAACCAGTGAGAGTTTGGGTGACTGTGGTAGTGAACTTTGTTATTTTAAAGAAGTTGGCAACTTGCTTCAGCTAAGGAGTCCTCCTTGCTCATTACTGAGTTGGCTAGCTATTTATTCGGTAGGCCATTTTGGCCTAGTCCTCACAGGGGTGGCTTATCTGTGCTTGGGCTGCATTATCAGAAGTACAAATGGCCCCTCATGTGACTTGGAATACTCCATACAGGAAAAAAACACCCTTGCATATTAAAATGTTTGTATCTGGGTGAACAGGCTAGGCTGGACCCTTTGCCTAACATCTAGTTTTCCATCTGAAGGGATTTTTTTTCATATGAATGAGCGTTTGGTTATTAAGCCTTCACTTGTAGTGGGAGGTGGATATAGTCCAGACAGTTACTACTCCAGTGAGAACTAGGTCCTTGTCCCTTTGGTCTTTCTTTTCCCTCTCCTCCAGCAACACCTTCCTTCTCAAAACCATGCATTGAGATGGAATTTTGCAAAGGACTGTGGGAAAGGGAAAGATATACAAGTGAGCATATTTCCAGCATTAACCTGGATAGTAGCAATGCAAGTGAAAGGCAACTACTGAGGCAAATTCCCAAGTACTTCTCTTTACATGGTGTGAGGAATTGTTAGTTTTCTACTCATTTGGCTCTCGATTTATCTTACACTAGGCTTGTCAGGCAGCAGCATCGCCAGCAGCATGTGCCAGTACGTCTCTCAGGGGCCTTAACTCATTAACACTTTTTGTACAGGGAATAAGTCTGTGTAGAAAAACACATTGCAAAGTTGTATATTTTGCTGCTTAAACACACCGGGAAGCTGCAGATGGTCAGACATGCAGGGAAATATATGTGTGGGCAATGGTTTGTGATTTGCAAAGCTTCCCATAGGTCATTTATATACTGGCCCGTCTCTCAAGCCCTTTCAGCAATGCTTCTCTATTGCAAGAAGGAAAAAGAGAACCCTAGCACAAGCTCTTAGTTTCCTGGAGGATTCAGATTATGTCCCTCTCCCTAGCACACGTGCTAAAGGGGCTATAATGTCTGAAATGCAGAGCGACGTGTTTTCATTTTGTTCAGCTGGGGCCATCTTCCTGCCTTTATTAAAAAAGGAAGGAAACTAGTGCAGCCAGCAACAATAGCCTACACTTCAGCTGGTCCTGGTGGGCCAATGAATGCACTTTCCTATCTTTCCTTCTCCTTCTGAAACCTGGAGCATTGGCTGCCAGCTAACAGGCATGTGACTAGAAGGAGAGAGTTGGAGTAGTGCCCATCTCAGCAGCTTTCACACTCTGTCTCACTGCCTATACCTCACCTTTTGCTATCTGCAGGTATCCTAGTCAGTGATGGACTGTGGGCTGCAGAAAGAAACAGTTGCTTCCAGAAGGCTGGTGAAATCGTAGCACCATTTTTTAAAAATGCATGGTGAGGTGCACTTGCTCCCCAGTACCTTTGTGAGCACTTTCTGTGGATATTAATTTACCCTTTGAGCAGGTCTTAAAATACACCAGGACCAAACTGTTTTTCAGCATTGAAACTTGCATCTCTCATCCGATCGCTTGGGATATCTTTCCTTATATTTGCAGGTTGGTCCTTGCCTCAAAAATGAGTTACTGTATTACAGTCCATAAGTATCCAGGGCAAAGGGATTGGTAGGGCTGCTAGGTCATAAGATGTAGAAAGTAACCACTGAATTGAAGTCTGCTTTCAATAGGCTTTACTTCTGCAAAAAAATAACTATAAAATTATTTCGCCAACAATTTGACCCTCCCTTTTGTTGCCTGAAAACCCATTTCCATTGCTAGAGCCCCATTATGAATTTTTAGCTTTTACTGAACGGGTAGAAATATCCAAACCAACAGGCAATCCAATTAAGTCAGTTTTTTGCTGGTTCATCCAGTTATGATGTTGACTTGTTCTGTCTGGGTCAGAAGCATCCTCTTGACTCTACTATGATGTTAATTCATTTGTAGATTATTTGTTTGTCACACCGCATCAAGAGTGACCCCAACTATTCAGTCTATTCTCTTATCCCACCTATCTGCCTGACAAATCAGAGTTTTGCTAAAACACACATTAAAAGCCTGATTCTTTTGTTCTACTTTTGGCAAATGGTTTCAGTTTAGTAAAAGGTTTTCCAAAGCAGCTCTGTAACAATGGATCAATTTCTTTCTACACCTGTCTAGAAACATTGCATTGACCTTTCTGCCTGTGTTATCATACAGACAGGGGAAAGAAAACAACTATGTTTAGCTGTCAGACTGCATAAAATGGTTAGCAGAAGAGAGTAAGAGACAGACAGACAGACAGACAGACAGACAGACAGACAGACGGGTCTTTCCTGTTTTCTGGATTGAAATGAAGAACATTCTGAATTGGGCTGTGCCAAATCCATTATCATGAACTGAGACACTTCACTGAGTATCTGAATATTTGTGAATCCTGACATTCACATGTGAAAACTAGTGGTCCCAAGACAAAAGACATAAATGTCAGACTTCAGAGAGCCACCGGTGAATGTTGACAAATAATCTCAGTGGAATAGTCAGATTTACCTGGTGTTCGTTCAAGAAATAGAGGGAATATAATCTGTTTTCAGACATTCAGAAAATTAGATCAGGATTGTGGGTTCTGTCCTGAGAGTGTTGTCTTTCACCAAATGCTGGATATTTACAGTAACATACCTACTCTCTCCTTGCATTTTATACTTAAGAAATCACTGGCTTACTTCTTTCCAACATTGTTTAGTCTTTCAGTATACCACTGTTTTAACAGCTGACATTTAGATTTCCATTCAGTAGCTGGAACACTTAATTAAAATTACTTCCAGTGTTCATAAAAATTCTCCTGGCCACAACTGAACCAGAGCCGTGGATCATGTAGAAACTCACCAGAGCCATGAAGATCATGTTGCTCAGGCAAGATCCCAGCCCAAACAGCAAGCCTTTTATAGACCTTCCTGTCTAAGTTAGATCAATGGCTAACCTGGGCCGGGGGCGGGGGGTCAGCCCAGAACCTAACAATGCTTAACAGTTTGAAAGATTTTCCAATTTGCAGTTCTGGTAGTTCATCACAAATGACATCAGCACAAATAATGTGTGGGTACTGTTTTAGCCAAGTCAGCTCCCGGTAACTATAGTTTTAAAGATCATGGAGCTATTGAAATAAGAAGTGATTATTTGTAGGATAGTGGGCATACTTACTCTTTAGAATAAACGTAGTTTTGATAGAATAAGAGGCAAGTCAATAGAAGGAGAAGTTTATAGTCAAAACAAAGTAAGACTATGGGAAATCTACACCCCACAGTCTACTGAGAGAGTTGATTGTACAGGACTCACTGAAACGAGCAGAATTACTTTTTACTGAGCTTTCATGCTCTTAAGGGAGCATGCCCTAAGTCACCATACAGGTCTCATTTCAAAGCACCTTGTACAGGGCTGTAAAATTGACATCAGTAAATGAGAATCACTGGGCTGGAAGGGAATGGAGTAGCCTTGCAGATAAGCCTGGAAAGAGTTACCAGACCATAAAAAGGGTCACTGCCTGCCTGCAATACTGATCTGTGGTTTAAATGGGAAAGTAAGCTTTTAGTCTTCCTGACTGATCACCTGAAGTCATTCTTAGGCGCCACAGGCAGCCATACAAGTAGCAATTTACACGGCTAGAGGAGAGTGTCCCCTTCTGAAAGCTTCGATTATCTCGCATAAACCAAACCATGGTTTTCTGCACAGAAACTAACAAGATGCACCTGCCTGGCACATGCAAATTACATTGCCCTAGACATCGCAATGAAACCGCTGTATAAAGCAGCCAAAAGCCTGTATGAACTAACCCATCTACCCTGATATCTTTGTGAACATAGTTGCCATTTGAGAAGGTGTAGTACTGGCAAGGTGAAGAATGGCAAGAGGTGATCACAAAAGAAAAAATCACTGTTCTGCTTATGTATCTTCACCATGCTGTCAACTTCGAGCCAAAGTAAGGGCTTACTCATCTTTTCAGGTTCAACGGATTGCATATGTTATGCAACAGTTGGCATCAATGATCCAGTAACGTCAGCATTACATATCATTGTGGGTAAGTGTCCAACTCTTAATTTATCACCTTGCTGTAAAGTCTGTTAGCATCTAGATGCTAAGCAAGTGCCAAGTGCAATCTACAGCCAGTCAATGCTAGTTACCTAAAGATTTACTGCAACCCATACTATCAGAGCAACTTTGTGAGCGAGTAATGCCTTCTGTAAAACCTGTGGGATGTGGGAGAAGCCTTGCTTCACTGATGGAGATACCTGGTCGGCATGGCTGATGTGCCAGCAGAACATTCTGCCGACAAACCCATTCTGCCAGCAAAGAAATACTGCTAGAATGACTCAAACAGGGTGGAGTTGAGGGAAGGCTGTGGATGGGCAGCAGAGGAATTGATCTTCGCATCCTGTCACTCTTCAGCTCATGGCCACGTCCTCACTGACCACACAACAATGCCCCAGGCCCAGTTCAGTGGGTGAGGAATAAATACAAAAATAGCTACCTACTTTACCTGCACCTAGTGCAGCCTTCCAATCATCTCAAATGTCCCTTGTCAACAGGAGACACTCAGCCTCTGGATGTCTCTTCAGTGCATCGCAATAATACATTTCTGAAATACTGTGTGTCACTATTGGGTTATGGTTTTTACGGAGATGTATTAAAAGACAGTGAAGAGAAGCGCTGGATGGGTCCTGCCAGATATGACTTCGCAGGTAACATTTGTTTAGTTTTACTCCATTCTTCCTTTTCTGTTAACCTACCAGTAATTATATTTATTTATTTTATTTATTAAAACATTTTTATGCCGCCCCATTCGCCGAAGCCTCGGGGCGGCTCACATCATAGCCAGTAAACCTTTTTTAAAAATCCTATTTTTGTCAAATTATGGCAATTTAAGGGCACACTGTAAGTATGTTTAGGCAGAAAAGAAGTTCTGCAGCTCCCAGCTTTGCCCAACCAAAATCCTGGAAGTTCTAACCTAGTAGGATTGTAGCTGCAGGAGCTGTGAGGTAATCAAGGGTTACATTTTCGAACAGTAGGCTGTTTCTGCGTGTGCCTGCATCCATGCTTCTGTTTCCATACAATGACTTCCACCTCTTCATCTACCATCGCTCATCCTGATACCTTTCCTTGTCACCTGGCATTTAACACAGGGAGTTGCCAGTGGTGATGGATCATGGGAGTTGTAGGCTAATACTCCAGTTGTATCCAGTTGTTGGGCCACAAGTTCTCCCCTACTTTAAGCAGCTTCATGGCAAGAAGTTTTGCAGGCACAGCATTCCCTATTAATGAATTTGTTTTAATGGCAAAAGAACTTCGGTATCAGAAAACAAATGGCTTTAGTTGTGACTCCTGCAGGGGAGGAAAGGAAACTTCATCTAAGGAAGAGTCCCCAAAGTTGAGTGCTGAAGTGGAAAATCAGGACAGGGAAAGTGGATAAGGATTACGTGTAATGGCACTAAAAAGCTGCCTTTTAATTGGTCTTTCTGTGGGTGAATGTTGGAGGGGAAGGAAGCACAAAGGGATGGCAAAGTGATGAGAATGTGGAAAGCCAGTTTGCAGAATTGATAGAAACGTACCTTATGTGTTAATTTACAAGAATTAAATGATTGCTTAATTCTTCTCCTCAAAGGTATCAAGACCTTTCTTTCCCATCATTATTATGAAGGAACAATATCTTTCCTGCTGGCATCACACACTGTGGGATCTCCAAGAGATAAAAAGTACTGCAGAACTGGGTAGGCCAAGTAAAATTATACATGATGCTTGAACAGATGTGACTCCCCAAAGTAGCTGTGCTAAGGAGTAGATCCTAAACAGAGCACCCAATTGCTCAACTTCGATCAAGACCAGGAGAGTCGCCTACAGTTCAGCATGACTGTGGCCATGCTCTCTGGTGGCTCAAGAGGCCATGTGGTCCCCAGCAGATTTCCCCCAAGAATGCGGTTCTTTGTGGAAAAAGCGTTCCTCCTCCCTGGTTCCCCTGACCGCGGAGAAGCAGCCAGTGCAGTTCTTTCTGCATCAGCAGAGATGGCAAGGAAGTATGGTTGGAGTGTGGATCTGAGGTTGGAATTCCGCCTTGGATCTGGGAAACCAGATTATCCTGTGCTTTGCCAGACACTGGCAAGACCATCAGATTGCTCTTCCCATGAAAGAAATCTTGATGAACTGTCCAGTTTCTCAGTTTTGACTGCATGAAAGATGTCTGCATTTTTTTTACCTTTAGGTGTCGTATTTGCAAGCAAAGTAAACAACAGCTGGAAAAAGAAAAGCGGAAATATGGAAAGGAAATTAAAGGTAATTTTATTCTACATAGAAATGCAGCCCCTAATAGGTAGAATTGCTCATTTAACCTCTATTGTGTGTATTTTATGCATGATGAATATCAGGACAGATTTTAAATTTCGATGAGGAGTGACTTAATTAAACCAGAAGCCAATAGGAAACTGCAATGGGTTTCTGGCCAAATGGGCTTTATTCGGAATTATACTTTTCTGTCAATCACTTGTAGTGATCATTCCATATAAGTGGTGATCCATAGCTGAAGTTACAGGACACCTAAAATTTATTTCATTTCCCAGTTTATAACCAAGCACAGTGCATTCAACTTAAAATGAGTTGGATCCAGACTAAATGGTTTGGATTGAATCCCTCTACAGTCCTATACACGCTTACCTGAGGATAAATTCGCCTCAGCTCAGTGGGGCTTACTTTCCAGTAAACATTGACTGAATTGTACTGAAAGCTAGTGGAACATACCTTGTACTGAAATCAGTGGGACAAAAGAGCAGTTAACTCAGTCTACCTCCAATCCGATGTCTCTATTTAAAGTACAGAGGCATAATGCAAAGAAGGGGGGGAAACAACCCAAGTTGTTGTTATATCATTATGAAATGGATACTAAAATACCTTCTCTTTCTAGTTTCCATGTAGTTGTGTCAAGTTCTGAGCTGGCCCCTGGAGCTTTAAGAGCAGTTTGATCTAGTTTGATGAATCAGTTTTTAATGCTTATCTTCCGTGTTGCATGGGCTGTACTGGAAGAATGGTGAGGAGGTTATTAAGGTTCAACAGGTGATATAATAAAGTTTTCCATTGTGCAAACACCAGTACAGTTTCTTGAAGGCACGCCAAGGTCTTTTGGCCCTCAGCTTTATAAGAAGAGCACCAGGAATGATAGCCCTGGATTGCCTTGTCCTGTCATTCTGCTGATAAGAACGGCTTGAGCTGTGAGAACAAAACTGCCTTACCAAAACAGCTTTACTCCCAGGAAGTGGGGCCAGGGGGCAGAACCTGCATGCATACTGACAGACTTTGGACTAGCCAGAGAGAGGAATTGACATATCACTTGCCCAGGCAACATCCCTGGTCTGCTCAAGGAACCAATATGGCCACAGAGAGGGAGAACATACGTTTTTTCCCTATCTATAACTGAATCATGGTATTCAACTGGATATCATTTTCGACACAGATGTTTTTCTTGATTCCTAAATACTCTCAAAGTGAGGTGCCCAGGCTGGACCAGGCCCCTGAGATTAAAACAGTTCCCTACTATAAAAACCTCCCAGACCTAAGGGTGTATGTGCAGACCAATCTGAGGGTTTTTTTTTTTTTTTTGGTTAGCTCAGAATTCTTATTTCCAAACCCACTCCACCACTGAGAGATGAAGCAAAGGGACCTCTTAGGGTATTGCAGGCATAGGTGGGGTCTCTATATATACTACAAGATCACATTCTCTCATGTTCTTTCCTCTCTGTCTCACACATCTGTGTGCACATGTTCCTGCGCACACACATGCAGGCACACAGAGTGGTGAGCTGTGTTGTGGTTTTTGGAGGAAGGAAGAAGTCACTGAGACCCGCCTTAGGAACTGCAGTCAGCGTTGTTTGCTTCTTGCAACTATCAGCAGTGGGAGAGCAGCAAAAGCAGCCGTTTGTGGGGGGAACCCCTGCAGTCCCAGCTCGGTTGCTGTGCCAGCATCGCTGATAGCCGTGCTGGAGGAATGGCCTTTTCTTTGCAAGTTGAAGGGTCAGCAGGGAAAGGTAGGTGGGCCACCTGCAGGCTCACAGGTTGTGTGCAGCCCACAGGCCGTGCCCTCCTGCTCTAAGACATGGCAACAATACTTGCAGACCCACCCAGAGCAAACCAACGTAAAGCCAATAGCAAGAGCAGGACATCTAGCTGAATATAGCACAAAGTAGCCTGTGCCCTTTGTATTTTATTTTATTTATTTAAAGTTTGTATATGCCGTTCCAGTACCAAATGTTTCTTTATGCACTTGACTAAGCAGTTGTTGAAGAAGGAAGAACAAGCTTTGCTACTGTTCTGCTCAGACCCAGGACCAAATTTACAACCATCATATTGTTCAGTACAAAAAAATCAAAGAACCTATGTTAGTTGTAAGTTTTCTATAATATAAAGTCACAGATTTCCATTTTTGTATATAATTTATCTGAATGGTACATTTGGTATAAGGCATTTAAAGTTATAAAGAGGCTGTATATTACTTTTATCAATTTTGGTTTTTTACACCAGCCCAATTGATCTGGGAGCTCTTTCTTCTTTGGCTGAGATAGATTTCTTTTTGGTTTGCTCTGATGTATAGCTAGGCCCTCAAAGAAAAAATAATGCCAGGCAGACTTCTTAATATCTCCCCTTTCTGGGTTTTTCTTCAGAAACAACTACCGAAGTATGTATGTACATGTGTACAGACATCACTTGTGGAGTTCTGAGTATAGAGTTCTGAAGGCCTTTTCCTCGGACTGCTCTGACTAACTACTTAGATAAGGAAGGCCACGATCCTGTACATGTTTAGGCAGAATGTTTAGCATCCCCCAGCCATCAATGCATTAATTTGTGCCTTAAGACTGCAGTCCTGTATATAGCGCTTAACTAAGTGCGACTGAGGCACTTGATTTTGAACAGACTTGTATAAGATTGCACTGTAAACCATGTCCAAGCCCCCCATTTTCCTAGACAGAGGCATTAATGCCCTTTAATAAAATATTTTTTTCTACTTACACACTCAAGAGACAAACATGGTTCCCTTGGTAACTTTTTATCCTTTTGTTACTTTCCCCCCTCATGTTATGTTTTTCCTTCTGTTCCTTTTTATTTATAACAAATAAAAAGAGAGACAGGCATGGCTTTCTATAAGCACTCTACTTTAGATAATGTAAAAATGCACAGTGAAGCATGATTTTTTAAACTTTAAGTGTCTCTTTAATGACCCTAACATTTGATAAAATATGCCATATTTTATTGCGTGCACAATGGAATCCGCATTCAGTAGTGCCTTAAAACTTGCTTAAACCATAGCAAGGACAGGTCTTTCTTTGTTTCCTCCCTACACACACACTTCATAAGTATACTTGCTTATGTTTCAAGGGGATGAAGAAGGAGAATGGAAGGTTATTAGAGGAAAGTTTCTAGCCATCAATGCAGCAAACATAAGTTGTGCCTGTCCACGGAGTCCTAAAGGCCTTTCACCAGCTGCTCACTTGGCAGATGGCTCTGCAGACCTCATTCTAGTTCGGAAATGCTCCCGGTTCAATTTCCTAAGGTACCTCATAAGGCACACTAACCAGGACGATCAGGTGCGTATGTTTTCTGTAAAACCATACAACCTTCAAGGGTTGACTGGAGGCCAAATGTGATGCAGCTTACTGTGCTTGTGTGGGAGACAGGACATCCATTTTGTGCCTTTTACAAGAAGTTCAGCTAACAGCCTAGCTTTCCAGAAATGCCAAGGCTTACATCTCAAATTTCTTCCTGACTATATTGGTGTTGCCAGCTTCTCCTCTGAATTGGGTTGCCATGCCATTAATGTTATTGGTAGCAGAGGGACATTCTGTTAAAGCACTTTGCATCTTAAACCAGGGACTCCAGAAGTGGGATCCAAGCACTTGATTGTCTGTACTGTATCAGAGCAGCTTGCCAAAAAAGGGCAGCTGGCCTCTTTTCTGCTGCCCTCCCACAGCGAACAGACAGACAGCAATATTGCAACTAGCTTCTCAGCAGGAATCGGGTGATTGGAATGGTGACTAAGATCCCACCTGGACCATAAAGTGCCTGACTTTGGCTTGGCTTCTCAGTCGGACACACTTTCCTTGTGTTGCCAGCAGGCTGGCTATCCATCTGCTTCCTGGCTCATCTCCCTGTCTGGTCAAGACATACTTGCCTTCCGGCTACCTGCTGCGATACTGGAGAGAGGGGCACACTTTTAAAGCCCTTCCCTGCCAAACCAAGAGCTAGCGATCCTCAGAGCATAACTGCTATGCTTTTTGAGCATGAAGTCCAAGGAACATGCAGAAGAAGGGGACTAGAGGGGCAGGTTGCAACTGTTCCCTCTTTTTAAAAACCAGCATTCAAAACTGGTAATTGCACAGAAGGGAGAAATCCGAGTGTGCTCTACCTGGGCATCATGCAGTTATGCATCTATGTCCTCTCTGTTTGTTTTATTTCTCTTGCACTTGTAAAGTCCCCTGATGCAGCTTAATAAATGCCAGCTTGCAGCCTTCCATCCTAGCCAGACATGGCAGAGAAATACAGCCAAGGAAATTATGAAGCTTAAAATCTTTAGCCCCAAGCCCAGTCATGTCCCAATTCACAAGGTCTTCCTTGGTTTATCATAAGGGTCACCATTCATTCATTCCTGTCGGGAAAAGGAATGGACTGCCCTGTTTATTTATTTTTTAAAAAATGCCATCCATTACTGTCGTCTCTGGACGACTTTCAACATTATTTCAGACTACAATAAAATAAGATAAATTAACTATTCCACACTGAGCATCATTTAAAATAAATTAAATTACCATGTGTTAAAATATTGGCCATATAAAAAGGTCTTGACCTGGCACCGAAAAACATATAATGACGGCGCCAGGCAGACCTCTCTGGGGAGCGCATTCCATAGTCGGGGCACCACCACAGAGAAGACCCTCCTCCGAGTACTCTGTCTCCTGACCTCTTTCAAAGACAGTTCCCGGAGGAGGGCCTCTGCTGCCAATCTTAGGGGGCGGGAGGGCATGTAGGGATAAAGGTGTTCCTTTAGGTATCCTGTTGAAGTGGGAGTAAAACCCACCCACCCACCTAGTGGCCCAGTCTCAGTTTTCACCATGAGTGACAGAGAAAACAATATCCTTCCTTTTCTTTCTGAAGGCAGCTCAAGTTTTACAAGAAAAGTGGGCAAGGTGTTTTTGTCCGTTCCAGAGTCCAGGGCTCAGGAAATACCGGGGGAAGGAACTTCCTGCTTTGGATAACAGGTTACGGCTATGCTTTGAAAAGGGAGATCTGGCCCCTCCTCTTGCTCCAGCCATGACAAATTACCTTTTCATCACCTGCTCATGAAAGTTGTTGGGCTTTTTGCTAGTAGTAGTAGTAGTGGTAGTATAAACCACAATCTAGCAAGTAACAGAAAGAGAAAGACAGCTGTCTTTGATATCTTAATAGAGAAAATAATGGCAACCAGATGCAGCCTTGTGTAGAATCTTATTTATGAATCCAAACTATACAGTTTAATTAATAATCAATAAAGAAACATGTCTTGTACTTGAGAGGTAATTGTCAAAATCCAGTGTAGACTTTGTGTTTAAGCCCTTTGAACTCAATTCCCTGGATGTACTTTATGCCGGATTGCAATTTGTAGGACCAAGTGTGTAAATAATGAAAACTCACAGAAGGAATGACATATCTTCAGTGATTTTTAAGGAAATGAATGTAATAAATCACCTCATGTTATTCCTGTGCAGTTTGACTTTGACTTTGTGGAGGTTTATCGGATCAAGAAGTTTCAGTTCACATCAAAGCATTTTGAAGAGGCCGACAATGATCCCATGGGTACGCGGAAGAAACACTTCGGCCAGTTCTGCAGAGACCATCCTGCTTGTTGCTGTGTGCTTCCCAACAGTACGTGGAACTGCGATGGAGAAACTCTAGATAGCTCAACGATTGAAGTCAAGTGAGCATCTTCCTTTCCAAAACATATATGTGAAAGGCATCTGAGTTTCATTCCCTCGTCAGTTCTTCCATTGGCAGGACTTTCAGATTTGTTAAGGTGCTTCCACAACAGTAGTTCCTCTATACTCCTCGCTAGTCAGACCTCAGCTGGAATAGTGTGTCCAGTTCTGGGCACCAAGATTTAAGAAAGATGTAGGTAAATTAGAAAGGATCCAGTGGAGGGCAACAAAAATGAACACTGCCCTATGAGGAGAGACTGAGGGAACTGGGCATGTTCAGCCTTGAGAAGAGAAGACTGAGTGGGGGGAGACATGGTATCACTCTATATGTACCTCAGTGTCACAAAGAGGAAGGTCAAGATCTCCTCTTGCTGATACAATCAATTCAAGTTGCAGCAACCTAGATTCAGGCTAAACATCAGGAAAAGCTTCCCCACTGTCAGAGCAATACGACAATGGAACCAGCTAGAGAGGTGGCGGGCTCTCCCACACTAAAGACATTCGAAAAGAAAATGGACAGCCATCTGCGTGGGATGGTGTAATATGGTGTTCTGCAACAGCAGGGGGTTGGACTCGATGGTCTTCATGGCCTCTTCCAATTCTACTATTCTGAGTTTCAACAGACAGAAAACTGATGGTTGGGTGTAAATGACACATTTTAAATCTCCTCACCTGAACTCACAACATGCTTCATCACACAAAATTTTCAGGCTATCTACTATGTCAAATAACATCTCTGCAAAGCACATCTCTCTCTCTCTCTCTCTCTCTCTCTCTCTCTCTCTCTCTCGCTCGCTCACTCTCTCTCTCTCTCTCTCTCTCTCTCTCTCTGTGTGTGTGTGTGTGTGTGTGTGTGTGTGTGTGTTGGGGTGGAATTCATTGGACAACAGTATAGGAGGAAGAGGCTCAATCTCACATGTTTCTAATGTGCTGTGGTCCAAATCTTGATCAGAACTCCTCAGGTCTTGCTAACTTCACTTTTAAAAGACAGACAGCATCAAACTAAAGGTTTGCATATATGTGCAATTTG